CAAATCTCATAGGATGGTGGACGTGACAGTTAATGAGGTGTCAAACTGAATTTTAATTCTGCAGTGTGGCAGCAGCACAAGTCTGCTATGTGGTTGAGCCTCCTCTGTCATTATCATTGAAAAGTGTACTATAAGATCAAGCACTGAGAAAGATTAAGACATGTTGTTGAGCCCACTTCAGACTAACAAAGGCTGCCTGCAACATACACTGCAAGTTGCAGACTCTCAGCCTAAAAGGAAGGCAGTGGATTAACAAATCTGCTGTGATGCAATGTTGTCAGGAAAACTCTATCATAATTTTGCCCAAATCTGGAATCTGCACATAACAGTTACGACAATTAATTAATCAACCTGTTAATGACAGCTAAATTTTTGATCTCAGATCAACTGGTGAGGCAGAAAAGGCAAATTAAAAAAAAAAAGGCCCAAGGATTTGCAGTCTAAAATTGGCCTGGTAGAAAATTTCTTCCTAAATTTAAGGATTTCAAGTGGGCATGGAAGAAGACTCAATCCACATGGAGCTGGGGGGCATGTATGGCAGACTTGGGGGCCACTGAACATTTTGTTGACCCTTGACTTAAGCTGCATCTGCACTGCAGAAATAATCCAGTTTGATACCACTTATTGCCATGGCGCAATGCTATAGAATTCTGGGATTTGTAGTTTTGTGAGCTATTTTGCCTTTTCTGTCAGAGTTCTGTTGCCCCACCAGACTCCAAATCCCAGAACTCCATAGCGTTGAGCCATGGCAGTTAAATGGTGTCAAACTGGATTATTTCTGCAGTGCAGATGCAGCCATAGGAAGACTGCTGACTGTTTACAAGTAAAATTGCTTTTTGTGTGTATTGAAATATTACAGGCAGACTATTTTATCATAAAAACCCTGTGAGAACATACTAAGAAGCATCCAGCCTATCAAGGGAGGTTAAAAATGGGAACAATCAAACAGCCCCCTTAAAAAGAAATAAACTGGAAATATAATCTCCTCCCTCTGTTTCACATTGCTATTTTTGTCATGTTCCTGAAATATGATTCTGACTTATGGCGACCCAATGCTAGGGTTTTCAGGGCAAGATTTATTCAGAGGCAGGTTGGCATTGCTTTCCTCTGAAGCTAGGAGTGGATGACTTACCCAAGGTCACCCAGTGGGTTTCTACAGCTGAGTGAAGATTTGAACTCTGGTCTTCTAGAGTCCTAGACGGCGTCCACAGTGCAGAAACAATCCAGTTTGTCACCACTTTAACTGCCATGGCTCAATGCGATGGAATTCTAGGAACTGTCATTTTGTGAGACATTTAGCCTATTCTGTTAGAAAGTTCTGGTGCCACAACAAACTACATATCCCAGAATTCCATAACATTGCACCTTGGCGGTTAAAGTGGCATCAGACTGGATTATTTCTGCAATGCAGATGCAGGTCTAACCCTTGCACCGCTACACCCCACTAGCCCTCCCTGCAAATACAGTCCTCCATTTGTGGCTCATCGGCTTAAGAAAATAGCTTTGAGCTGGCCATTTTCTCCGTGCACTTTTCCGTCTGATCTAGAATTCTTCCCAGAGCTTCAGAATGTTACCGTTTGGGACTATAATTCCCAGAATCCCCCAGGCAGTATCCATGCTGTCTGGGTGGTGGTTCTGGACATAGTAATTCAGAGAAGTGACTCTCCCTAGCTCTGTGCTATTGAGAAATGTGGAAAGATCTCAGGGAGCATGGAAAGGAAATTTCAAGCCTCCACATTTGTGCTGGCAGTGCTACACTTTGGCAATGGGGAATGGTGGTATCAGGCTAGGGCATGCGAAGGCTTACCTGGATTTCATGTTCACCTGTTTGCATATGTGTATGCACATGTATATAGAAGATGTTCTGTTGGCTGATTTCATAGTGGTGGAAACTCAAGCCATATCTGTACACCAGCTGGTCCTTGCTTTGCATTCAAAGCAGGGGTGGGCATCTGTGGCCCTCCAGAGGATGTGCAACTTCACTTTTGGCATTATAAAACTGATGGGAGCTTCAAGACCAAAAATGATCTTCAGGGCCATAGTGCCTAGATCGGGGGAAGCAATAGTGCCACCCTATTCTGCTTTGGTCAGAGCTCACCTGGAGTACTGTGTCCAGTTTGGTGCACCACAATTCAAGAAGGATGTGGACAAGTTGGAATGTGTCTAAAGAAGGACAATCCGAATGGTGAAATTCAAAGATATAGCTGTGTTAGAATCAGTATGTAGAGAGTTCTTGTAGCACTTTGGGGGCTAACTAAAGAAAGACGTTGGCAGCATGCGCTTTCGTAGGCGTCTACTTCCTCAGATGCATCAAGTGAAGCTGAAAATCCCAAAAGTAAAAAGCAGCGCGATTTTGTCCACTTTCTGCACGGGTTAATGTCGCATTAATGCTCAATTAGCCCGATGTGTCTGAAAACAATCCCACTTTTTGTGGGGTTTTCCCGGGATTTAAACCTCATTTATCCATGGGATTTAGGGACTTTGCCTCCTGTGTGATAAACTCCTTGGATTCTTTATGTTGCCCAACCCAGATTTAAAACAATGGCAAAGCTTGCAGATCAATAATACCCATCTGTTATTGAAGCCTGTGGGATTTTGCTCCATCCAGAGGACTTCAATGATTTCATTTGGGGTTTGTCTATCAGCTTGAATCCTCTAATTGCTCCCTCTCCATCCCTTTTTCTGGCAGATGTTTCCTTTCTAATGCACACTGATGCTGTTCAGCCCTTGGAACCTTTTTTTGTTGTTGCTGCTGCTGCTGCTGATGTTTTTGAATCAAGCTTGGGAAAGTGACTTTTTGTGAGGCTGCAACACCTGGAATCCTCCAATCATCATGGACAATGCTCATATGGGCTATGGCATTGTGGATGGTGTCCAAAATGATAATGTTTCCCAGCTCTGCTCTGCATAAAAGTGCAAGAGGGATTTCCAAGGCAGTGAGAAGGGCTCTTTACTGAAGGCAAATGCATCCCTGTAGGTGTTCAGATCTGGCCAAGATGGCCTGTGAAAGGGCTGCATAACTCCCTACATCTCCCTTTTGAGAGTCAGTATGGTGCAGTGGTTCCACTGTTGGACTATAGCTCTGGAGACCAGGGTTCGAGTCTCCATTCAGCCATGGAAACCCACTGGGTGACTTGGGCAAATCAGCCTCAGAGGAAGGCAAAAGCAAACCTGAACAAATCTTGTTAAGAAAATCCCATAAGGTTGCCATAAGTCAAAAACAACTTGAAGGAACAAAACATCACCAACAAAATGTTCTTGGCCTTTGTTGTGCTGTGTGCCTTCAAGTCATTACCAACTTATGACAACCCTAAGATGAACTTATCATGTGGTTTTCTTGGCAAGAGTTGTTCAGAGGAGATTTGCCATTGCCTTCCCTTGAGGCTGAGAGTGTGTGACTTGCTTAAGGTAACCCAGTGGGTTTCATGGCCGAGCTGGAAATTGAACCCTGGTCTCCAGAGTTGTAATCCAATGCTCAACCACCATGCCACACAGCATTCTTCACCATTGGCTATGATGGCTAGGGCTGATGGGAGCTGCGATCCAATATCTGGAGCAGGGGTAGGCAACCTAAGGCC